TCCACCCTTTCCATTTTGTGTGGGGTTCCCGTTGAAAGAAAGACACGACAAACAAAACCAAGCAACCCGCATACCGGGTTCTGCAAAAAGAGAAACCCAATTTTCTCTCGCTCAAGTATCTTTCCCATGTACGCCCCTACCCCCAACTTCAATGTTGTCAAGGAGCGATGTGACATCTGAAGCCAACATGGGCATGTTCCCGCAGGCTTCGTCAACGGGGAGTCCGTCCAACTTTTAAGTTGGGGGGCAAACAGGTTGGCGCCTATTCTGAAAGTGGGTTTGGAAAGATGGGTGTTGTGTTTCCTTCTTTTTCCCCAATAGCTGAAAGCTTTTGGGTCTCAACCCAGATAGGCTCCGGGGTGGTCTGGGGCTGCCCTGAGGTAAGGTTCCACGAGGTTTCCACCAGTGTTCCGCCAGGGTTCCACGCGGTTCTGCGAGGGCTGCCGGGTGGTGCGAGCACTAAAAAGAGCCCTAGTATTCCCCTATTATTGCCCTAGTATTCAGTTAATTTAGTACTCTATTGGTATACCTAGTAAAGGGATGGAATTACTAGAGGAATACCTTTAGTATTTCGCTGGTACTCCTTAAGAATTCTCTTGGTATACCCCTAGTATTCTCTCAATATTCCCCTAGTACTTCCCTAGTAGTGCCCCAGTATTGCCCTAGTCAGGAAGCCTGACAGAAGTCAGACCGATTGAGCTTGAGAGTAATCCTGGTATTCCCTCAGTAATCCCACGTATTATCCTAGTATTCACCTTGAATATTGCCCTAGTATTCCCTGAGTATGTACCTAGTATTGCCCTGGTATTCCCCTAGTATCGCCCTAGTACTCCTTTAGTATTCTCTTGGTAGTTTCCTCACTACCCCCCTAGTGTTCCCCAAATATTTCACTAGTAGAGGAAGGGGAATATTGGAGGAATACCTTAAGTGTTATCTAACTAACTAGGCAGATAAATAGATAACTAACTGATTAGCCAATTAGCTAGCTAACTGGCCTTAGAGCTAACTGACTAATTAGCTGACTTGCTGACTGTTTGTTTGACTAACTAATTGAACTTGCCAACATTTACTGCTTGGACTTGAACAATATGCGTTTCGCAGATGCGAAAATACACATGTTTCTCAAAAGTAGCATTTTGTTCTAGTGATTTTCGGAATTGTCCAGGCTCAAAAACCGGGTTTTGGAGGGGGGTTGCATATATATATATATATATGCAGTTTCGAGAACAATCCTCAGTACCTTGCTTGGAGCCCACTCCACCTACCAAGCAATCTATCCCCAGTTGTCTCAGAAGCGTATTCGGCTAGGGCTTGCCTGACACCACTTCCCTTGCCCAGGGCGCTTCTGATGGCCGGGGCGCCGGGCACTGGAAAGACAGCGGGGAGCCTAGGACGACTCATTCGATGGTCCTAGACTTGCCAAGTTGTTGGCATTCTAGGTTCGCTCATACAGCCTGGCAAGCGGGGATCACACTTTTAGAGAGTTACAACCAAAATACCTAAGCACGGGCCCTGCGAGGACCGAACATGCGGACATAGGGTTTCAGAGAACATGCGCCGTGTTTGACATGTGATTTATTGTCCCCAAAAAGGTGTCTTAATGTTGTACCCTCGAAGCAGCTTCGGTTCGGGAGCCAGGCTTCGCCTTTCAACGCAACTTCATCCCCGCTGTACGATTACCCTGCACAGGACCCCAAACTGCGCTTTCGCCTTTGATCCTAGCCACCTGGCATGTGACTCCATTTGTTAGCAAAGTTTGGGGGGATCCTTGCACTGAGCTTTCCGATTCTTTTCAGAGAGACCTTCTTTCCGACAACTGCAGAACAACATCGGGGCAACGTGCGGTTTTGAATAGGACCATGGTTGGGAGGAATGGAACAGAAAACGACCCCTGAGGCCCTAGAATCATTGCCTGGGATTTGATCTCAAGTCTCCCTCAACCCCTAGAACATTGAGTAAGTTGCTAAATCAAGATCTCCTTTCAAATGCTTTTTGAAATACCAAACCAAAACGTGGAATCCCCAAAAAAGGGACCCAACAGCCAGTTCCATCAACCCCAACCCACCCCTCTTCCGGGCGCCTGGCGTCGGAGGCTTTGGCGCTGGCGGTGGCGCAAGAGCTGGGCTCCAAGGCGTGGGCCGGCCATGCGCGCCATGCCGGTGCTTGCCCCATGTACCCAGGAGTTCGGAAGTGGAAGCAGCCAAGAAAAGGAGTTGTTTCACAAAACACAAGCTTAACTTAGAACTATATATATACATTTATATATATATATATATGTATATATATATATATGTAAATAAGTATATTATACATGTATGTGAGAATCTACCGACATCAAGAGTTTATCAATACTGCCTTTAGAGCGGCTTGTTCAATGTCAGTTTCTGTTTTCACACATGACAATGGCGTTCTTTCAAACAAATCAAAAATTGTCTAACAATTTACAATGATCTATACTTACATCTACAGAGTTAGAGTTTTTGTTTGTAGATTCAGACAAACGTTTGATATTTTGTGCGGTCTTTGCACACTGGATGGGAAACGATAGCTGGCTGATGAAAGCCGATACCCTTTCAAAAAACTTGAAGAACTTCGTCTCGGCGAGTGGAATCCACCTTTTTTTAGCTAGGCTGACAGAAGCCCCCAGCGCGTCGAAGACATCGGAGATGGCTTCCAGAAAATACATGCGAGAGTCTTCGCCAAAAGTCTACGCGTGCCTCTCGACACTGAAGAAGCATTGCCAATGATTGGCTTGATGCGCCGTCGCGGTCCTGCGCTGGTGAGCGCAATGAATACCACAGCCGAAAGATGCTTCGGGGTTGTGCGTGCCTGCACACATGCGCCAACATGGCGCAGTCTTGGCGGGATGACATTTTGCAAAGCGCGTGGCCTTGCGAGATCCGGACTTGCAGTTTGCTTGCTTTGGCAAAGGTGGAGCTCGACGCTGCGCAGCCGGAATACTTGGCGGCTGAACTTCGCAGACAGCTCCAGCTCATTCATGTGGAGAGTGGCAGACATGGGTACTTCAACAAGCCTTCACCAGACCTGCTCGGGCACAGAGCTTTTCGGAAGCACACAACCTTGGCCTCAAAGCAAACCAGAGAAGAGAAGGAGCGCGATCTTGCACTTGCTGAGCTCCGAGAAGGAAAGAAGCCGAAGGAGCTGGACATGCCTGCTTGGCAGCACAAGCCGTGGACAGTGCCTAGACTGACACACCTTATTTCTTTGCGTCGAGTGTTTACACGCGCAACTATGCAAGTCAGTCCGTTGCTAGGTGCTGGCTCGACATCTGCATGTCCAGCTTCCGCTGCAGCGCTGCAGTGTCGACGGCGCCTTGCCCCCAAGAGTCAAGGTCAAATCGCTCGAGAAGCTGCCGAAGGCGGCCCACCGCTCCTTCGAAGGGACCTTTGCCTTCGCCAATCATTTGCCCGTTGCACAGCTGAAAGAAAGCATCCCGGAAGGCTGTCTGGTGCAGAGCCAGCGTGCCGAAGATTACGGCTTTCGCACAGGCAAGTTGGCGTTGCGCAAGCTGTAGCGGACTTGCTTTGGCCACAGGCGAAGCCCATTGCATCAGTGCCAAAAAAATGAAGCTGCACTCCATTGGTCGTCCAAGATGCATTTCCGCGGCTTCGAGATGACGTGTGAAGAGATGCGGGCTGCAGCCGCTAAGGCCGTGGCTGTGACCGACCTGCAGACGCGCTATGTGGGCGCATACCTCGGATTGCGCCAAGCCAGAGCCAGCTCCAGCTCTGGCGGATGAGTGCGGCCGGCAGCTGTCGCGGCCATTCCAGAGAGCGTATCCTGCGGCAAGGACGCGGCTCAATGGGCCATGTTTCGTTTTCCGAAGAGTCAAAATTCTATGATCTCACAGCCGTGCCCGGGAGCAGATGCTGTCGTGCAGAACCTGCACTTTCTTTCAACGTGGCAGCGTGTTCGCCTCCTACATTGCAATGCTTGCCTACGCGCAGGACAAGCTGGACATCAACGAGGTGGACATCCAAGGTGAATAGCACCTCGTCACTTGCCACCAAGAGCTGTTTCCTTATCCAGCCATTGAGACTGCCACCTGCCACCTCTTCAGCATAGCGAACGGCGCGTGTTGGTTGCGTGCTGCAGGACTGTGACACAGACATGATGACCTTGCGTGGGGAATGGACGGCTGGGGCGCCTGAAAATGTGGCTCGGACTTTCACGGAAGAGAAGGACATGGTCTGGAGCCTGCTCGACGCTCAGCCGGAGGTCGCGAGCAACAAGCGAGCGGCGGCTGCGAGACTTCAGCGCAGATAGTTAAAGGCGCCCGGGAAAACACTGTGTTTGCATGTCATAGTTGGCTTGATTTTCACTGAGTCCGTAAAACAAGCAAAGGTTGTTAGGCAGTTGCTGTGAGTCAAGCACTTGCGACTGACTGTCTGTCTTTGGACCGCTTCTTAGCTTCCTTCTCGCTTGGAGAAGTACTGGACACCCCGGCACGATGAGGCGAGAGCCCTAACCCCAAAAGTTTGTGCCATGACAGCGCGACACAGAGCCCGCAGAGCTTTGCAGCAGTCTTCACTGGCTTGTGCGGCTTGCAACGTCGAGCAAAGTGTGGTAAGAGTACTCCCGTTGAGTGATTCGAACACGACACCGTCAGCACCACTCCTGCATGAACAACCACCACAAACTACCCATGCTTGTCTTGGCATGATGAGCGCTTGGAAAAAGAGCGCCTTGCAAAAGTCATGCGCGTTGCACGCAAAGCGTCGGAGCGCTGAGTGATTCGAACATGACACCATCAGCGCCACTCCTGCGTATGCAGCCACTGACACAGCCCCGGGTGACCAGCAAGTACTCGTTCCTGATGTCGGTCTTGCCGCGCTGCGCACTTCAAGCGCGACGCCTACTTGCACCACCCCTGCGTGAGCAGCCAGCGCGCATTCCTGCTCTTCCCGCACACATGCTGCGCGGTTCGCACGCGACGCCATCAGCGCGACCCCCGTCTGAGCAGCTAGTACGCACTTCTCATGTTAGCGCAGCGTGAGCACCACCGCCGCGTGAGCAGCCACTACTCATTGCTGAAGTTAGCATTGCCGCGCTGCGCGATTCGAGCACGATGCCATGAGCACCGACCCAGCGTGAGCAGCCAGTGTGTGTTCCTGATGTTGCCGTATACCCGTGCCGCGCATTTCGCACATGGCGCCCGAAAGCACGACGCCCGCGTGACCAGCCAGCATGCGCTGTCTCTCTGGCAGTCTGTCTGTCTGTCTGTCTGTCTGTCTGCCTGCCTGCCTGCCTGTCTGTCTGTCTGCCTGTCTCTCTGTCTCTCTCTGTCTCTGTCTGTCTGTCTGTCTGTCTGTCCGTCTGTCTGTATGTCTGTATGTATGTATGTATGTGTGTCTGTCTGTCTGTGTGTCCGTGTCTGTGCGTGCATGCTTGGAATAGCGTTGCACGCACTTTGAAGAGCGCCTTGCAAGCACATCATTTACACTGCACGCGATGCATCTCCATTTATGGATGGCTCGAGCGCTTGGGGCTCGCACTGTCGCACTCACGGAAGAGAAGGACAGGGTCTGGGGCCTGCCCGGCCTTGCACGTACATTGAAGAGCGCCATGCAAGCAGCTCGAGCGCTTGATAATCGGGCTCGGACATGGTCTGGGGCCTGCTCGCCGCGAAGCCGGAGGTCGCGAGCAACAAGCGAAAGTGAAGCGCTCCTCTTGTTCCAGAGTAGAGGAAACGCCTTCGAAAGTGAAGTGCTCCTCTTGATGTAGCTGATGGCTGTTTGTAGCTGACAGATTGCACATCGAGCAAAAAAAACGCGGGAATGGTCACGCGGCTGTGATACTTTCGGGCCAACCGTGGTCTAGTTTTAGCTCTAGTCTTAGGTTGATAGAAGCATTTAGTGGAGGACCAACATTGGGTGGTATTGTGGCTATCCTCCCGGGGATGAAGTTGTTGCATTGCCCAATGTTTATGCGCGCGCAATTGCGAAGTGTGCTGAAAATAAGGAGTGGCACTCGGTGTGCCATGCAGAGGGGGGCAGTTTTAGTAGGAGACCGATCTGTTTTTATTCTGTGGTGTTGATTCCAGTACGAGCTTGGGGCAACAGCTACGGCAGCGGCAGGGTCCTTTGTTCCCCGCCCAGCAGATTCCCTTTGACTTGTGCCTGTCTGAGGTTCCACCGAGAGGGAACCAAAGTTTGCATCTGGCGGCGGATTTCTGATATGCCATGAAAAGCCACAAATGCCAATCGTTTGGGCACTGCAGATGTTGGCACGTACCCCTTGGGACCTTACAGAGCAGGTTTCTGCATCCTATCCGAATTGGGCACAAGGTAATCCTGTTCTGAACATGGGGTTGAAACGGTTTTGTCTTCAGAGACTCCTTGACAACTTGCTCTGGGGCTTCCTTCGGTAAATGTGCAAAGACTTTTCGGTTTGTCTCACGTTGCTTGCCAGGTGCCCTTTTGCCCAATGGTGGGCAGTGAGGTCTACTCCTCTGAGGCCGATCCGACCGTTGGCTGTCACACCCACCTGAAAACAGCAGAACCGTTTACAAGGGTATACCCAAATGGGTCTCGAAACGGAGGAACCTCCAAAATGGGTGGTTTTCCTTTCGGTTCCCTTGCAGGTCCCCCCACAGGGCAACTCCTCTGTGGGTGTTTCCCCCCGCCACAATGGCTGTCAAATCTCCCCAAGTAGCTTTTCTTTTTCGGGGGGAGGAAGGGAGTAGGTGTATGTCAAAACTCACAGCGCCAGTCCAGCCACGGCAACTCTAGTCTGAAACTTACATTCTTGGGGCAGGTAGTGCTTCATTCTAGCCCGGTTGCTTTGTCAATTTGAGAGGCCCAACGCGGACGGATTCCCTTGGTTTCCCTTCAAGACAAGCCCTGGCAAAGTTTCCCAGGCAGTCCGCCAATCAGTCAAGCACACAGTTGGGTTCAGGCATAAAGGCCGGCAGTCGTGATGATACAGAATGAAGCTCGCACTGATTTCATGACTTGACTGTGGCAAACGTGGCTGGACCTGCTTCAAGCATGATGTCAGCAAGTGACAATATTATTGGGGCAACCCCCAAAAAATCCACTAACACAAGGGGACAAAGCCGATTTGCCTATGTCCTTGTGGGGAACGAGTGATGCTGTCCGTGCGCGTGTTTTGTCAGTGTTGCGCTTGTGTTTGGGACAACGCCTATCTCCAAAGATGACCGTGTCAAGGACTCCTATAGAGAGAACCCAGTCCTTTGCTCCATGTAAGAGGCTTGGCCCGCCGCGTGTTTGGTCCTATTTGTGTCTATTGGCCCCTTGCAGTTGAGCCACAACCATATGTTCTTGCACGAGTGAGGTGGGGACTTGATGCAGGCCTGTAATGTCAACACGGGCCCCAAATCAAATCCTTTGTTGGCCACATGGAGTAGCGCTCAAAGGGTTTTGGACCCCGCTCAAAGTCGGTCTCCTCTCGGCACTTCTGATCAAATCACGTGATTTGCTTCCTGTGATCACCGTGATACTGAAGCGCTCGGGGTCATGATGCCTCGTTGTTGAAATGTCCATATGACATGGACCCGACTTGTGTTGCCATGGACGCTGCAAGCTCACACTCGAGCGCATCAAAAAAGGGCGCAGGCTTCCTCCAGATAAACGTGACATTTGGACATCATCGTGTTTGGAGGAATCTCCTTTTGGGGAACCATCCTTTTTGGCTGTCCTGTTGACTTGGCTATGCGTCACCATCGGGGACCCCCCCAAAAAAGGAACACATTGGCGGGTTTCCCTTTGGCTTCCTTTAAAGCCGCCCCAGAAAGGGTGCCCTCAAAAAGTCACACACCCATTTCCAGGCGAGTCAGCAATGCGCGAAACGAGGCATTGATTTCTCACATTGCTGCTCCAGGAGCAGAGGGGTGTGTTTTGGGCAGCATGAGTGTCTTGAGGGCACCCTTTTTGGGTTGCTCAGAAGGGAAGCAAAACGGAAAACAAAAAAATGTGGGGTTACATACTCGATATTTTGGTCATCGAATGTGTTCATACACATCTCAGTGTCTGCTGTTGCTACTCTTTCACTCCCAGTGGACTTTACAGCATAAGGTTCTTGCTCTTCGATGTTTCACATGTTTAGCTTTAAGCGCCAGCGCATATGGGTATGTGGCAAAGTAGGGGGACTCTGGCAGTTTCCTTTGGTCCCGGCCTGAAAAAGGTACCCTCAAAAGCACACTCATATGGCGATGGGTAGCTTTCAAGCGTCCCAAGTGATGAGCTGTTTTTGACAGGGGTTTCTATGCTTGACACAAAGCACCACAAAACGGTTTCCACGCCTTCGAAACTTATTATTTTTTCTGAAGGCATGTTGGGCGGCTGAGTATCTGATACTCTGGACCGGTCCAGCGCCTGGGGCAGGTCAAGAAGACCGAGATCTTGATGGAGAATTGTCGTCGTGCCATTGGGCAACTTGGCAAAGGCCAACCTGTAACTTTGAAGCTGGGGGGGGGGGCGGGCCTTGTAAGAGCACTCTGTTGAGTGGAAGTTTAAATTGTTAAATTGTTTTGCAGGTGCCTTCCTTCTGGTGGGAGGGAGAGTAAGCACTTGCTGGCAGCGTCATAATGTTTGTGCGACGTGCAAGCGACTGCCTCCTATCACAATTCCCTGACATCCGCGGGATTTATCCTAGAGGTGGCAATAATAATTACCTCCTAAATCCGAAGTATCCGGACTCCCAGAATGTGCTAGCAAACACCGGATCGACATGCATGTGGCATGTGTATATACATATATAAACACATATACATTGTACAATATACACAACTATAGACACATGGACCCCCCTGATGACCCTCGCGATGTGTTTGTTTCATGGAACATACGAGCACATACTAAAATGTGGGGCCTTGGGGAGTCGGATTGTCGGATTGGGCAAGCATCCCCCCTTTTGTAAGGCAACTCCCCCGCCCTTACCGCAAAAAGAGAACATCTAAATACAGAATTGGGGCGTTGGGCACTGGGGTACATTTGGACACTTGTGACAGATGTTGCAACATATTTTGGACCGGGGGTTTCCACGTCCAAAAGCGTTCACGTCCAAAAGCGTCCAAATAGCAAGGTGTTGTGGACGGATATTGTTGGTTTACTTGCAATCTGAGTTGGGAAGATGGTTTTTGCGGCAAACCCAAAGTTTGGACTTGTCTTGGCAATCCACGGAGGTGAGCTTTGGATACATCCTCTAAGGCGCTCGGTTTTGCGGAGCCGACGGCGTCCTGGCTGAGGATCCGAATCAAGGAGACCAAGGAGGTCTATGAGGGCGAGGTCACCGAGCTGACCCCGGAGGAGAAGTCTGAAGTGCCGACGATTAGCTTGCCTGGGTGCTTGATAGCCATTTTGCTGTTCTTCTACCCAAATGAAAACCACGGGATGGGTATTGTTTTTGTTTTTCGTTGTTTGTGTTTTGCCTGTGTGTGTTTTGTGTGTTCTGTTTTTGCCAGGCGCCCTTTTTAGAATCCAGTTTCTATGCCCTAGGTTCCGCGTCCCTGGGACAAGGGCCTTAATTATTGAGAATGAGGTTGTGGGGACCTGTAAAAGCAAGTTAAGTCATGATCTTAAGAGAATCATGTTTGCAAGCGTTCAGCATCTTACATTGCCCTTTTTTCCAAGCATCATGAAAGTGGACAAGGCTTCAAGGGGATTTGGGACGACTACACGTCCACTTACGCGAGTGTTGGGCGTGTCGACTCGTTCCCAATCCCTGAGTTGAACGTTAGTCACTTCTGGAAAGCGATTGGACTTATTGAGGCTTCTCAGAGAGTGGGAATCATAGATGTAGTATACCTACATGGCTCATGTGTTTATGCATACATACATTATACTATCCAAACACATATGCTTGTATGTATATTGTGTAAGGGCTTACATACTATCTACAATGCTTAGAAGGTAGTTGGAGGCCACTTTTCAGAACACTACCGTACGCTAAACGCGCATATTGTTGGTTATGGCCCAAGCCTTCTGCGTTCATTGCTTGTGCGGGGGGAATCTTGCATAGCCCCAGTTCAGTGGCATCCCTAATCCTCCTTTCTGTTTGGTGGGTTTCCCACGAAAAGTCATCTCGAACAATTCCCTTAAACAGAAGCGGTTTCTATCAGGATCATTGCAAAGTCTGGGTCGTTATTGCTTGCTGAGCAGACAGCACTTGCAATATCTAGCGCTCAAGACAAGTGGATTTGTCTCCAAATGGTCAAATGGCAAGCGCATTTGTGCTCTTCCGTTGGTTTCCCTTCAGCACAATCCCCAAAAGGGTGCACAGAGCAGAACCCAAACTTTCTTGTAAACTCCATCTTGAACTCCAAGCTGTTGCAGTTCTAGGGAACCAGAAGCAGACTACTTCGCAATGGTTCAAACATGCTTGCAATTTGTATTCCTGGATCTTGAAGGCAACGGCAGAAAGACCTTTTTGCTAAGATGTACAACGCTTTATTTGCAGGGATTTAGAGCAGACCGCAAAGGAGCCAATGACACGGGGGACTCTCTATATGTCTCTGGAAAACCGGGGACTCGTCAATTTGTCCATGTCCAGTAGGGTAGATATCGTTTTCGACCGCTGACACGGTTTCATTTGTTGTTTTTTTTCGCGCAGGAGAGGCCGGATCCCAGCGGTGGGTACGGCAAGAAGGTCACGGCCGCTGCTCGCCTTGTGTTATATGAGCCACTGACCAAATGATTTGCTTGGGGTTCACAAGGATGGTCATTCATTCCTCCATATGGAAATTGGGAAAACCAATGTAAGTCTTCCTAGGAGACCCCCAAAATGGTGGTTTTCCTTTTGGGTTCCGTTTAAGACCATAAAAGAGGCACCCTCAAAGAGAACACACCCTGAAAGGTTTGTAAGGGAAGCATGACCATGGGCCGCATGTTGGTTTGGGGAGGACGAGGATGAGGCACAACACAAATCCAGTAGGGGCCCGAGTTTTCCGAAATTATCTTGGGTAAAAACTTATGTTGCCCGTGAGATATGCAATTCGTTCAGAATATCCAGTCTATAGACGGTGGTAATGTTGGGAGGGACATTGCGGGACCCACAGATCGTCTCGCAAAAATCAAGGACACTCGATGATTTGTTCATGCCCTTTGAGGTAAAATCACATTCTTATCGTGGCTCATATACTGTTGGCCTGGAGAAATGGCCGGTGTTCGTTTTGGTTTCCCTCTGAGGTATGAACTATCCAAAACTTGGTGCCCAGATTCAGCATTTGGATTTGAATCCAGACCTTCGTAGACGGCGTCAAAGGGACATATCCCATTCTAGGGGATTGCCGTTTTTAGAAGTTGTGTGACGATTGGTGCAGACGCTTTTAGTGCTCAAGGAAAAGAGCGCCCCAGGTTTAGCACTCGTCCCTTGGCACTAGTTCGGCTCGTGGCAAGGCCGTAATTCTCAGAAAAGACCCAGCTTGTTGCCCTTGATGGGGCGCTCGACTACACGCCACCCCCTGAAATCCTTGAACACGGACAGGGGCGCAAAAGGCGAAGACAAATGGAGGGTACCGTGCGGTGTTTCTCCGAGGTGATGATCGGCCTCAAGACCACGCGGGGCATCCCAGGCACTGCGAGGTGGGCAAAAGCAGGGCTCCCCTGAAACTTTGCATGAGACGCGGCCAAAACCTTTTGTGAAACGGGTTGTGCTACCTGGCTTCAATAGGGCTATAGTAAATCCGATATATATATACATATATATATATGATATGCACATGTTTGACCATTTTGGTAGAACAAGCAGTCAATGGGCTTTGGGCTCTGCTCACATGGAGGATTGTCCCAGGCCGAACCTCATGCATTTGTGCGGCTTTGATACTCCTTTCCGTGTTTGAGTTTTTTTCGAGGTGGAGGTCTTTTGCTCGTCATGTAGCGCAGTGCAGGGGATGACATTTGGTACACGTAGTGCAACAGTGTAGTACAGAGGAGGACATTTTGCCAGCGCACCAGACAGCCACTGGAAATTGGGGTTTGATCAGCAGCTAGTATCAGTAGTTTTTTGGGGATGGAGGGACATGAGCACACGCACAGTGGGGAGCATGTTTCCTTTTGCCTATTCTTCTGTACGAATGGGTGATTTTTAGGTTCCATGTGAATCCTGAAGGGGTTGTTGTTTTCGTGCAGCACACTGCGAGCTAAAGCTTTCGTGGTGATCCCTCACTTTCGGTCCGCGAATCATTTTCAGCGGGACACATGTATAACTATGTATGCGATCTATCCGTAGGTGTTTAGAACCATCCCCTACTCTACGTTGTGTTTTTGTTCCTCTGCAGCGCCACGGCAACATTGTGTGCCTGTTTCGAACCTGCTAAAAAGGATCACCCTGGTTTGAGGTGTGATTCATTCGGTCATTTTGTTGAGCGCAGGAGCAATGTGCTCAAAGCACGAAACAAACAGACTACTCTCAGGATGAAGGTGGACCCCCGAACAGATGCACTTTTTTCATTCCCGTGATAGCGCTGAACAACCCCTGAAAACAACGTGACCCCTAACTATGTTGGGGTGACCCCAAAGACCTCAAATAACTTCCGGTCTGGGGTCAGGGATGAGAATTGGTCGTTCCAAAAGGGAAACCACCACCTTGGAGCCAATACTTGGACACATACCCATATGTACCGGGAATTCTCCCTTTTCATTTTCTTGGATCTCGGCTTGGACCGCAGGTCCAGCCCGGACTGCCGAAATCGCCTGAGGAAAGGCCAAAAGACCTTGAAGCTGGCGCCGCAGATCTATGAGAGCCTGCAGAAAGAGAAGGTCACCGCGCCTGCCCCAGTAGAGGACGTGGGTGTTGGCCTGGCTGCAACTGGGGAGTGCCTGCAATTGGTTGGTTTCCTGGGCAAGAATATTTTTTTATTTTTGGGGGCCTTACAAGGAGGTGTGTGTGTGTGTGTGTTCCCAGTTTTTTTTGGTGTGTTTGAGGACGCCCAAAAGCAAGGCTACTATACCATCCCTATGGGTCCCTTGCATTGTCCAGATGTACTTTGGCGCTCACTCCATCAGGATAAAGGGCGCACCATGGAGGAGTTCTGGTTGGTTTCTGAAGGAGACACCAACCATTGTCCCGCATTGTCACTCTAGGGGCAGCTTCCCCATCAGTTTGTGGACATGGATCCCCACCTAAACGACATCCGCCAAGGGTCCCCCGTTGAAACTTAGCCAAGGTGGGCGATGTCATCTACATCGAGGCCAATAGCGGTGCCAGCAGAAGAGCTGCGGCCCCAGGACGCCATGACGGTCCTTTACTTGGGGTTGACTTGCTCTTACACCCCAGTTGGTGCTGTATCCCAATATGCAGAGGTTTTCATCCATCCCTATATTTTTCAACGGCATTGTTAGATTGTTTGCGACAGCGTACGATTTGCGGCCTGTGTTGTTTTGTTTTTGTTTTTTGGGCGGGGGGTTGGGAAACACTTTGACATGGGAAGTTTCATAAGCGCCCGTGTCTGTTTTTGTGGCACGCGGATACTCACGTAAGTGGAACTTTGTGTCCCAGATCAGGAGTTTTACTGACCTCATGACAATGTTGAAACACTTTGCTGAGAGTGCACTGGGTGAAGTCTGCTGCACAAAAGATTAACACATTGTAAAGTCCAGATGATAGGAAGATCGTTTTTGTGTATTCAAATAACACGACTCGGTATGCATGTGTTTGTTTCGTTTGTTGTCCAAACAGTGGGAAATCGCGGCCCTTTTTCAAAGGCTACTTTTGACGCGGAGACTGAAGAGATCCAGTTAACTATTATAGGAATGCACCGTGTTTTTTTTGGGGGGGGCTGTCCGGGATGTGCCTTTTGTTTGATTGGGCTTGTTTACTCTTGTGGTTTCCACTCGGGTATATTTTGAGTCAAGGTTAAGGTCGCGGTTCCAAAGAATCCTTCTATTTTCGAGCCCGAAGCGGGTAAGCGAGTGAAGAAGGTGCTCCAATCTGTAGCACAGCTTTGCTAGCAAGGCATGCTTTCCATTTGTTCAGCCGCGTCTCAGGTTGGGCGAAGCGACAGCTATGCAACGGAATTCGACCTGGAAGCAGATGAGTGCGCCTGATCTATCTGGGCCCAGTCACTGCAGGGACGTTTCTCTGGACCCTTCTGGCTTTCAGGCCATACCACACGCCAACGAGCAAAGAGGAGAATCTGAGGCTTCCAAGTGTCGGCCAAAGTAATACCAGTGTTTTCAGTACATCCGTATTTACTCATTATTTGAGTGAAGCACCGATTTTGACGGTTCCCAGGTGTCAAAGTCAGAAACTGGTTTGCCTTTGCACCTATGGGCCTATGGGGGTGATTTTGACTGTGGTTTGGCCAGTACTCCGAACATGTTGAAGGAAACCAAACAGGGGGTGATTCCAAAAAGGAGTCTGAACAAGAAGTGCTGAAAAGACATCCTCTTCTTCCTAAATTGGGGTTGCTTCAAGTTCTGCGGGGTGTTGGGCGAGGTGTGTGAGTTTGGCAACGACAATTTTGCCAGGGTATTGACTGTTAGTGCTTTCAGGTAGGCCGATTGTTTGCGCATGTTGCTGGGTATTGTCTCAGATTAGCCCCCACAAGTTTCTAGTGGTAATTTCGATGCTAACATACATATGCCATGTTCACTCATCATCTAGTTGTTATATTAAGTGTTTTTTTCTCATTGTTTTAAATAGTTGATGTATAGTTGTATTTGTGTATATAAATACATGTATTTGTCCACTCATTTTATTTTTCCACGTGCTTTTATTTTATTGATCTATGTATTCATGACTTTAAGTATTGATTCAGCCATTGTTTTGATTTGTGTGTTGATTTGTTATTTAGTGAGTTGGTTCGATCGTTACTTGCTTGCTTGCTTTCTTACTTGCTTCCCCTTAAAGACCACCGCATCAGGAGTAATTGTTGCTTTCGTCAGACCTCAGTGACAGAGGCAACAAAGGAAGCGGTCTGAGTTTTTTCCGGAGCGCAAGGGATTAGCTCACGCAGAATAGTCAAGGGAATTGAGACACAGCACTTCCCACACCCCTCAATTCTCAATGTATGGGGTTGGGGGTATTTGGGCCTACGCCACAACCATTGCAACGCCTGCATATTCCTTTATAGCCATCTTGGTAGATCAGGTTTTGGGCGTTGCTCATGTGATTGGGGGACCACAGGGCGGCAGGGGTTAATACGGGAGCGTGCCATTTCAGAGGAGATCCTCCACTATTTTGTGGAGTTGCATCCCATCAATGCACTAGGTTCATGCAGAGATACATTGGGCGGGATAAATCTGCCTATTTAATCTTGTGGCGAGCTCACCAAGTCGAGGGTAGAACGTGCTCTTGTACTTTGAGATTCCTTATATTAGGTTTTGGAATGATTGCAGAACTTGTACATTCATTGCCTTTTTAGTCAATGACAAAAGTCTACCTTGTTTCATGGTCAGTGGGCAAACAAGATTTGGCCACTGGCAACAGTGGCAGTGTCTCATTTGGCCAGGTACGTGCCAGTGCCCAAGGGAGACGTGCACAAGAAGAAGGAAGTTGTGCAGGAGACCACTCGCAGCCCAAGCACCCTTTTGCACAACCATATTATGTTTTGCATTCCAGCACCTTCCAAGGACTGACCCTCATGCAGCTTGACCTGGTTCTGAAAGAACCAACATGTGGTTGTCTTTTGCACTTGTTCGCCCTCCTTTGTAGATGGTTGGCACGACCTTTGCTCGGATCGTTTAAGCTAAATCTCTTTGCGGATGCTTTGACAATGAACATCTGAAGGGCGGCTATGGAGAGGGGGGGGGGGCTATCCCTTATCATAGAACCCACTAAGGGCTTGTCCTTGGCTTTTCCGAGGTTTTTCCGTCCATGAACAAATGCAGAAAGGGGCCGTTTCCCGTCTGATCCGATAGGACGTCACCCTGCACGATCTAGACCAGGCGAACGCCAAGCCCCAGGGCGGGCAGGCGACGCATGTCGGGAACTGGGTGGGTTGCTCCGAACCTCCAAGATTGGAAGGGTCCAGCCCTGTTGGAACAGTGTCAGGGGTGGGTTTCTCAACGTCCGTCGACCAGCACCTGATTGGTAGTTGTGTTTGGGCCTGCTCCCTACAAACTACCATGGAGCCCAAAAAGGACTCCCCCCCAAAAGATTCTTCTCACACATGTCTTTGGCGTTCCTTCTCTGAATTCGCATGAGAGAAATCTCAGCTTTATTTTGGTGGGGCGGGTTCTCCACGGCGTTTGGCTCTCCAAATAGGGCCCGGCGCTCGGCTCGGCTCGGGTGGCTCGGCTCAAGCGAGAGGACTTGCAGAGCCTCATGGGCAGCTTCCTGAAGCCCCGGAAGACAGAGATCACCGAGAAGCTGCGCCTGGAGATCAACAAGGTGGTCAACAGGCGCGTTCCGTCCGTCGGCTCCGGTGGCACACGGCCGGAGGAAATTCACCCGGGTGGTCCTTACTGTGAGAAATTTTGGGTTGCATCATGTTGAATTCACGGACCTATCACAGGTTAGCGACAAGTACCTGACTTGGCGGAACACCCAACTAGCCGTGCGGGCTTTACAGGCAGGTAGAAAAAAGCTTCAACCTTGTGGTTCTCCCTTTGTGTTAGGTGGTTTCTCCCCCAAGAACGGTTTAAGGAGTCCAATTCTTTTTCTACCAGGTCATTGGCAGTTTTCCAACAACAAGCGCCTCGATGAAACTGGATGGTCCCTCGAGGAAAAGGGTCTTACCCTTACGGTGGCCCTTTCTGTTCCTAGAAAACCACCTGAAAGACACACCCCGGCTGCTTGGGGTGTGCTTTTACATTGAGCTGTCTTTCAGCCAGAATTCAGCCAGGCCAGTCGGCACGAACAAACCAAAGCCGGGGAAAAGTGAAAAGCAAACGGGGTGCTACGGTGGACAGTTCTGGTCTATGCGGCAACCACCTTGTTTTAAGGTAGCGTTGGGCTCGGCGCTGCAAAATGACTTCTCCAAGTGTCCATGGTAAAACAGGTGCGTTGGGGGCGGTTCATTTCCAAAGAGAGTCTTGGGCATGGGAGGCTGGGCCAAAGAACAGGGCTCCGGCCAGAAGCCCTGCGTCAACGCCATGGGCTGAGCCAAAGCGCTACAAATTCCTCCGGGGCGGCTGCGGAAAGAGCCACGCCAGCCAAGTTTGTGGCCGCCATCGGCTGCAAACGCCTTTTATTCAAATGGTCCAGTCCGAAGCGGAAGACTTGAGCCTTGGCTACATCGTCGAGAACGATTTTTGCGTCAGAGCCTCTTGGGCCTTGGAGGTGATACAGTGATACCCGCGGGTTCTATTTGTTTGCAGACGCTGATCATATTATGAGGTTCCAGGCAACTTTAAGAAGTCCATGGTCCGGGAACTCACCAGTTTCCCCCGCCAAAGTCACGTGCTTGAGGGAAACCTTGCGAAAACCCATTGTTTGGACCATGGCTACTATACACATGGTATCGGCATGCTCGATTTTTGCACACACACAACCTGCATTATGGCTATGCACTCCACGTTTGCATGCCATTGAATTGGTACCCCCTTCACGCGGCAACTGCTAGTTCTCGCCGATTTTCTGGATGACGCAAGTTCTACAGCACGGGCCAAATAGCTTCTATCATGTTGCTACTATGATCAATACTCCAAAGAGTATCCCACAACTCGTTTTCTTCTGACATGGAAGAAAAAGAGGGTTGTTTTAGGCGTTGAACCCTCTTGCTTGGACTGAAAAGGGAAGACAAAAAGCATCCGTCCAATCTCTGGGGGCCAACTCGTTTTGACACGATTCCGCAGTTTTGTGTCAACATAGGGAACGGGGTTCATCTGAATCTGAGCAGCGCCCAAAAGCGCCCACCACGTTTGCCGTTTGGGCCAGTTTGGCAAGGTGGATGGACTATACTTGATTGCTCCCAGGAAAAGTTAAACACTTTTTGCAGAGCAACCAAGAGTATAAGGTCCTATCAAGCCCCTTTGGCAATCTTGATAGAACCGAACGCTTGGCTACAACTTCCCGCAGGTCCATTGTTTTCTGCTCAGTTCCGTTGGGTCCCAAAATGGCTATAGGGTATGGCTGCGCACCAGACCACGTTTTTTTCCACTTGGCGAGTGGAGGTATATAGACCAGGGCATTGCCGAGCTGGTGCCCGGCGTGCTCTTCATCGACGAGGCGGCTTCTTCACGCGTGGGCTTATGGCCTCCACGAAAAAGTGGCTGGTTCTCAGAAGGAAGTGGACCCTGAATATATTTGGGGGGCTTGTGACCAAGGACCTCAAATAATTTGGCTCAAAACATATCAACCCAGCCGCAGATGGACTTATCTTTTCTTTACAATTGGGTGAAAGTAGAAACAAATCCCCATGTTGGTTTATGATTCCTTGTTGGAAAAGGGAGTTGTGCCTATGTTTGCTTTGCAGGGTTTGTTTATTTGTGTGTGTACTTTGTTCAGGTTCCCTTTTTGGGGTGTTCTAAAAGGGAAACCAAACGGACACCTCCCAATTTTGTTTGCCTTCCTTCAATTTGATACACGAACCCTAACCGGAGTTTGGGTGCCTTGGCCATGTTAGCACGTGCTTCCACTACCCTCTCTCCAGCGAAGTGGGCAAGGCGGGCTTCCTAAAAGGACGCTTCCATGATTGGAGGGAAGGTCAACCTTCAGAACCATCTTGAAACCGACCGTCACTGATGTTCCAACCCCCCTCAGAGGGCCACACTTGGACGCATGAAATCGTACTCCCCGATGGATGTTTTCCTACCCCAATATTGGCGTTGATGGCTCCAGAGTCAATGTCAAGCGGGTTAGTCTTTGGGCTATAACAGGCGGGTCCGACATTCTGGGTCCAAGGGTGGGCTTTTGAGATGTGTGAAAATGCTTGCGCCACCACGCCAGCGTCCCTGTTTGGGGACCCGTCTCTTTGGTCGCAACCTTCTCACGGAAATATGGGTTTGTCTGAAATTGAGGCAAGCTTCCGATTGTATTGTGTGTCCTTTTAGTTGCCCTTTCAAACAACCCCCACAAACCGTTCCCAACAAGACACGAAATGAGCGGAAACCTTGATTTGGCATGATTTGGCAAGTTTTCTCCCGGAAAATGAGCGGAAGAGGGGAAATGGAGCAATTTTCCAATTGAGTGTTTTTGGTTTGTCTAATTGAGCGTTTTTGGGCAAAATGACTTGTTTTGCTCGAACCTGAAAATACGCATCATAAAAGTGCCGAGGCAAGACCTAGGTTTGAGATCAGCTTCAGTCCATTCGGGGCCGGAGGTGCACATGTTGGACATCGAGTGCTTCACCTATCTGAACAGGGCGCTCGAGATGCGGCCTCAGTGGGGAGGAGGATTCGGTGGCCTTCTGGAACTATGGGGTTTCTTGTCGGGGTTCCCGCAAGGCCCAAAGTATGACCCAATTCTAGCCTACCTTATTCAGCCTCACTAGGCTTACTGAGCCTTTTTTGGCAGAGGGCAGCCTTAGGTGGTCTCATGACTTTCCAGATAGAAAGTCTTTGCTTCAAACGAGGGGATTTCCAAGTGACGCGCCCCAGGTACGCGTAGTTGCCGAGACCCTTTCGTGCGATGAAATTACCCTCACTGTCTCAAAACTTGGGATTCCCTGTTGTATCAGGTTAAAAACACGCCAGCATGAAACCAATCCGCCGAGCGGCTCAATTGCTTCTTGACACGCCGTGTGGCAGATTAAGCTGTACGAGGACTGCAGCGAGACGGGCAGATTGCAGCTTCACCATCCATCTGGCCGACGCACACGAGCGCGATCCATTCACGTTTAAAAGGGGGTCTTTGCGGTAGTCAAGAGGAAGCCCACCGCCTGTTGAAGGTCTCTAGTTCACCAATGAATGTACAACCGAGTACCCGGACAAGCAGTTGCCAAGCTGCCTGACGGCACGCTTACCTGGGGTAACATGAGCTTGCCGCTGTGAAGGTCCACTCTCAGCCCCATCGTCATCTTTGCCACCAACAGAGGCTGGGGTTTCTTGCGTGTTTCCACGAGCGCCTGGTTGTTCTTTGGAAGGTTTGGTTTGTGATTGTGCCGCAGACTTACAAATCTGGTTGACTTTGGGTGCTACCAAGCTGGTTGCAAACACGGCTTCTTCTCATGTCCAAAACCCCCAAGTGTTTTCCAACAAAAGTCGTTGGACGGTGCTTGTTGCAACCATTGCCTTTGGTGACCCCCCCGAAGTCAGGAAAATACGCGGCCTTTGTCTGTCAAAGAGAACTTTCTCAGCTGCGAAAGCCGGTTGCACAGCGCCTTGGAGGAGAAACCAACAGGAAACCAACCACCCGCATGGGCTTGAACCGCATTGGGATTTTGGGATATCAAAAAGCTGTTTCTGTTGTTTTCCACCTGAGTATGCGCCAAAATAGGGGGACCCCAAAAGCTGTTTTTGTTGTTGTTTCCCTTGAACACCCTGAAGAGGGTACCCCAAAAAGCACCCTCCCACCTGGTTATTGGACACTGACACCATTTTGAGCAGTTGGGTAGCTCGCTTGTGAAAGTTGGGGACCCGATATAGGGGTGTTATACCCTGACTGGTAAACACCGCCCCGGGAGAAAAAGCACAAGCCGGTGCTTTTGTATGCTGAGCTTGCTCGAAATCAAGAGTGATAACTGATAACTTAACAATAAGCATCACGCCTTGAAGCGCTTCGTCATGGCAGCTCACAGCATCATCTCAAATGAGCTGCTTGTGTAACGGGACCACCCCAAGGCTTGAGGAAGAACCAGTCTCTTCGAAACACGGCAAAGGATGTATCGAACCCCAAAAAACGATCACTTTCTTCCGGCATTTTCCAGAAGCCCATGTGGTTTTAAAGTACGCCAAACCCTATTCTCAGGATTTAGGCTCTTGTATTGCGTATCTTGAGCGTGGTCGCAGAGCATTGAGTTCCGTCCAAAAGCACTTGTAGGGCCTGTGCCCCGGTCCAACCCTCGTTTCTGAAACCCGTGCTTCCCGGTGCTTCCCCACTTTGGTCCAAAGTAGGCCTCTATTTATGCGGCCTTATTGACGTATTTGTGTTTTCCTGCGAAACAATGCGTGCAGTTTGCTTTTTCATAGGGGAGCCCGAATGGTGGGTTTCCCTGCAGTACCGGTTTCAGATTACACACCATCTAGAAGTGGGTCATGTTAGGGCTGTTAGGGTTCCTTCGAGGTATTTGCACGATCCGTGGCACGGATATCGTGTCGCCCCACGGCATCCCGGTGGACCTCTTAGACAGGCTAGTAATCATCAGGACCGCTGGGTCAGTGGGAATTTGCCAGATCCATTCACAAAACCCTAGCACTTTCCTGCAGATTCACATGAGACCCAAAAAGCGTTCATCCTTGTTGGAGTGCTTTGGGGGACCCCTTTCTTGGGTTCTGTGTGAATTCGGGGACTGCAAGGATTCATTTGAGAATGGTCCCAAACCAAACCATTTGCGGAGCGGTAACCATTCAACTTGTGTTTTTGGATACATCTTCCCCTGGAGGGGGGTTGCGCGGATCTCGGGCATCTGCCCGGGGAGTACCAAACAACTCTTGCAACCTTGGTTTCCCAAGTTGGTGGCGAAGCCTCAGGGTGCCGGTCCGCCTAAGCCCTTAAGCAACTGCTGTAGAGCGGCCATCTCCTCATCAACCTTTCAATGAGGCCAAAAGGGGGGGCTGCAGGAGGGGCCTGGCTTTTCAGGGGGTCCATAGCACCCTAGCGGGATCCAACAAATGGCTTTTGCCAGAGCCGGGCGATCCCGACCGGTGATAGGCACAAACGCGCTGGATTCGCTGGAGCAGCGTGTGCACCTGGGTGTTGCCCAAAATACGGCACGCCTTTTTATGGATGAGAGGGAAGGCCAAAGGCAACCTCCCAAAGTAGGTCCTACCCAAGCGCAGGTGCTGTACCGGTGCTGTACCGGTTCTGCCGGGCTGATCCCCTTTGTGAAGCCGGGAAAGTCAATTGAGTGAAGCCTGGGCCGTTAGTACTTTGCTGTCACACAAGGGGTAATGTCCCACTACCATGGCGCTAACCATAGCGAGCTCGCTAAGGGTGAATTATAGTTAGCGTTGATCACTGGCGAAGTTTCTTTTCCAGACCCATGTAGCGCCCAGATTTGTTCTGGAACAGCACAAATTGGACAGACACTGGAAAACAAGCTTTAGAGAGACCCTGGAAATCAGAAAAAAAAAAACATGTTTCTCCTCAACAGCTGAAAGCTATGGGGCTTTGCCCGGATAAGCTCCGGAGTGGTCTGGAGCAGCTCTGGAGTGGTCTGGAGGAGCTGCGAGGTCGGGTTTTGGAGGGTTTCCGGGGTTGTTGGGCATACTTGGAGCTCTAGTTGTTGGAGCCGATTTTCTGTGGGGGTTTTGATCACTTGGACGTTTTCCTGGGGCTTGTTGCTTACAGAGACTCTTGGGCAACGCGCCAACGTTTCCAGGACCATGCCATACTCGGTGGATGAGATCATCCAGGCTCAGGGGCTCCCACTGGCTGCGGGGTTGAGGTGTGGCCACCCCCCAAAAAGTCGCGAAGGCACCAGCTGGAGTTGTTCTACCTAGGCTTTGCTTAGCATCAGGAGGGGTAGGGGGGGGG